GGCATCCAAAATTAAATAAGATCTAGGGCATGTTCTCACTTAAGATAGTTCATAGGCTAGAAGAAGTGCTTATAGAACAGAAGTTTTGACATGTGCAGGACTTTGATCTTTATAATGGCCCCTGGTTCAGTGTGGTTGTGTCCTTCTTAGGAGATAAGGGCGGGGCCCTGGTTCAACTTGGCTTGTGTCCTTATAGGAAGCTGGGTGAAGGGCCCTTGGCTTGGTGTGGTTGGTGTCCTTATAAGGAGATCAGGGTGGGCCCTTGGTTCAGCATGGTTAGTGTCCTTATAAGAGCAGCAGCACAAGTTTTGATCCAATGTGACTTCCTTCATTATACAATTATCTTCCCTCCTATTTAGTTGATATTGTAGTAAAACATGAAAATTGCCTTGCCTCTCATTTTGGGTGTACTCTACAAGTATTTCTTTGTGCTTCCCATGGGGGGGTTCCATTTAATGTCAGAAAGAGATGCCACTCGGATGTGAATCTATAGCAACATGACTTCAGTAGGGTACAGATGCAGCTGCTGAACCTCTCCAACCCTGCCCCTCAGTTACTGATGTTACAGTGTTATATATGGTATTTATTCAATACCATAGAATAAAATCAGGGTGTTTTGATACATTATTCTCTTATAATTTTATAAAAAACTAAAGTAGCACTAGCTTTTATAATTGTCATGAATCTGCTTTACCAGGGATCTTTCTGGCTTCATCAAGATCTGAGTTCCCATCTAAGGCCCTTCAGCGCAACCTGAAGGACTTCCCTCACACAGGGCACATCTAGTGGGGACCAACTCCCTGGGCTCTTGTTTATTGGGTGCTGCAGTTAGAATGTGTGTCTCCCGGGGCTGGGGATGTGGCTCAAGCGGTAGCGCGCTCGCCTGGCATGCGTGCGGCCCGGGTTCGATCCTCAGCACCACATACCAACAAAGATGTTGTGTCCACCAAGAACTAAAAAATAAATATTAAAAAATTCTCTCTCTCTCTCTCGCTCTCCTCTCTCACTCTCTCTTAAAAAAAAAAAAAAAAAAGAATGTGTGTCTCCCTCCAAAATTCCTGTTGACAGTTCAGCCTCAATGTAACAGTTTGAGAAATGGTTAGGCCAGGAAGTTCCCAGCCCAGGGATGGGATGTGCACATTATGAGAGCTTCTCTAGCATGTGCAGTTCCCAGCACTGTACGCGTGTGTATGCCACCCCCCCGCCCCACAAGTACCTTTTTCCAGCTGGACACAATGATGTATGGCTATGTTTTAATTAGCTTTTTGAGTGCTGTAATCAAAACACCTAACAAGAACAACTTGGAGGAGGAAAAGCTTCTCTTGGGCAAACAGTTGCAGAGGTCTCAGTTCACAGATAGCTGACTCCATTGCTCTGCCCAAGGTGAGGTCATCCATCATGGGGGAAGGGCCCAGGGGAGGAAAGCTGCTCACTGCAGGGCAGCAAAGAACAGAAGCCTCGAGTGTAGATATGATGAGGTCTTCCAAGGCCACAAAGGTATTACAGATTTTCTGACTCAAAATGAAAAGACCGCTGAAGTATCCCACAAATCTTAATTCTTTTTTTTTTTAAATTTTAATATTTATTTTTTTAGTTTTCGGCGGACACAACAGCTTTGTTTGTATGTGGTGCTGAGGATCGAACCTGGGCCGCACGCATGCCAGGCGAGCACGCTACCGCTTGAGCCACATCCCCAGCCCCACAAATCTTAATTCTGAAGTGCCTTTCTCTGGTTTCTGACTGCGAGTCACTGATATCGTGATTTTAACTCTTTTAGATGAGAAACAACATGGAGAAGCAAGCTTCCATGTAGCCAAACTCCGAAGTAGCCATCACTTCAACCTCTGGGGACATTCGCTACCTTGGACATTCACACTCCTACCCAAACCACAAAGCAACATATACCAGGTCTGGGAGCAAAGAGATGGATGTCACTTTTCAAATCAGAGACTCTGTCAGCTAGAAAACTCAGTCGAAAAACCCAGTTGTTTGCTCCAGGTCCTTTAGCCTGGGGATAAGTTATCCATTTGTTCTTTCTTAGGATAAAATTTCATGAAAAATACTGATTTGGGGACTGCTCAGTTTATTACATTAGTAATTCAGGAGCCTGTACTCATTGTAGGAGGCACAGGGAAGCAAAGAAAGCCTCCAACTCCAGAAGGGTAGCACCTGCCCAAGAGGAAGGATGCTGTCTCTACAAGGCAGGCTGTCTCCTGAGCCAGGAGCAGGAACAGCCAAACTGTCAGGCATCAACCTGAAACCTACAAACACCCTGGCATTCTCCTTCACCCTCCTCAGATGGGTTCAATGAGAAGGCATTCATGTGGGATGAGGCAGCTGGTTAGCACAGACAGACAAGGTTGGGAGAAAGTGTGTATGTGTGTTTTGAATTGGTGTCTTTGGTTAGTTTGAAGAAGGAGGACATGGCCACAAGCTCTTCCCATCTTGGGGGCAGAAGGCAGCCACATATTACTTATATTGGATACTCACCTATGATTCATTTAGCTTCCCATGTAACCTGCTTAGGGGGAAATCATGAGTGCTTACAATGGCCAGAGCTCTCTGGTTCCCATGACAGGTCTGTTTTTCACAGTAAATGCACATACAGCAGGAGCATTCTACCATATACATTAGTCTCTTGTAAGTTTAGCTAGTGTGAATCTATCCCAAGGGACTCATCCATCCTTGAACCAACTATCTGAGACTTACAGGGTGAACTCCACATGCCAGCTCCATCATGATCGGGACTGGTGTTGATTACCATGGTGAGGCTGGCCAGCCACAAGGATCCCTGGCTGCCTAATGGGTGGCTTTCTGTCTTACCAGTGACACTCAACTGTGCTAACTAGAAGAATAGATACAGCAGATCTTATTTTATCTTCTGCTTTTCCAACACTTCTCTTACTATTCTCAACATTTTATATTTAAAGGCACTTTTAACTGTTTCCTCTAAATATAAGAGCAATAACCATTCACCGAACATTATCAGTGTATCATTTCATTTAAGGCTTACCACAACTTTTGAACCAAGTATTATCACCCCTATTGCGTACATAACAGAAACAACTGAGGCTCCGAATGTTTAAGTAGCTGACATGAGGCCACCCCCAAGTACACGAAGTGGCTGGGATTTGAAGCAAGGTCCACAAATCTTACACCTCTAGAGTACTCCATGCCACTAACAATAACCAGATGTGTCTTTCTTGCTTATTTCTTTGGGATGCAGTTCATGGAACTCATTGTGTGATAGTCTTTCCATGGATGTGTGCATATGCCCTGGGGACTCTGATCCTAGCCCCACCACAGCAGATACACCAGCAGATCCTGAGCTTGGCCCCACCCCATCAGCGCTCAGAGGAATGATGCTAAACTTTACATGAGCTCATGTTACTACTCATTCTTATAGCTATTCATCCTACCCTGATTGTCTGTTGTGATTGGGACTATTTTTGGCCTTCTTTTTTTTTGTTTTTCCCACAAGACTGCAATATAATGCCATAGTAACCAAATTATATTTTAATTTATTCTCATTCCATTTTAGGTTCAGTATTTAAATAACCCAGTTGAATTTGAATCAGACAGACCATCTTATCCCTTTAACTACTGGTTTAACCCTCTACCTCCCCAGGAACAGTGTTCAGTTTCTTATTTTAGTTCCTAACTGGGAAGATACTGATCATATGCTTTAGGATTATTATAATTCACTTTCCTTTGAGTTCCCATAGAACACTGCTTGTCATTTTCAGTTAAAAGACAAGTACCATCTTCATGAATCTCATGGTTACACTACCCTTCCCTCTGAGCTCCCTCCCCCGATAATGCCAATCTATTGACAAAGAGGGCAGCAAGATAAGTGAAGAAAGGAATACTTTAGCAATCCACTCTCCCCACCTCCCTTCAGTTTTCTAAGAATTGGGAAGAGACAAATGTATCAAAGCAATGATTTTTAGTGTCGCTCGGATGACCCTTTAGGTATATATTATTGGTAAACATGCTCAATTGCTGATGAATGATGTAAGCAAGGGTGATTGTTTATTTTCTGAATGTATGCACTCTGTTTTAATTAAACAACTTTCCTTATCAACAGATACTTTGGATGTTCCCAGTATGCAACTACTGCATACTATGCCATTATGCATCAACAATGACATCAAATGTGCATAGAGTATTTACATGTCACTTATCAGAGCCTGCTCTAGGTGCTTTGGAGACAGTAAGTCATTTAATCACTATGGAGCCATGCATCACATACAACAATCTTCACCTCCACTTTAAAGAGAAAGTAAGGCACAGTGAAGCTAAGTACCCTGGGTTGTACAGCTAGTCTTAGGCAGAGCTGAAATCTGAACATAGCTGTGTGCCTTTTGTGTATTACTCTGTATTAATACTTATGTGGAAAGAACCTAATGGAACCCCAAGTCATGTAAGTATAATGTTTGTCCACCCATTTGATGAGACCAGGGATTCTTGTTTGGTCCCAATCTCCAAACCCACTGTAATTCCTTGGTACCTGGAACAGTGCCAGGCACACGACATAAATAAATAAATAACTTTCTGGTTTTCAATAAATAACTTTCTGGTTTGAATCATTCATTCGAATGATTCCTCTTGAATCAAAACTGACAACAATGCAATTGGCTTGATGCTACCATTCCCCTGAGTGACCAAATTGACAGAGGGCACCCTTTTAACCATTAAGTTACAACTGGGGCAAGTACTTCATGCTTTGAAAACTCCTTTCACTAATGATTCTCAAGAGAAAGGACATTGTTAATGCATGCAACTAAGCCAGCACTCAGAATTGCTAAGACCGTTGTGCCCACAGATGGTAGCTGGATTTCAGTGGAAGGGAAATGGATCCCCGGCTTTATGTTTCAAAGCACTGTAATTATCTTAGTTGCTTTGAAGCCAGTGAAAGGTGGGAAATAAATATTTTAGAAGCACATCTAATGGCAGGCATAAGCAACTTCTCCCAACAAACAAAAAGCATGCATATCCACCTGTTCTGAAAAAAAACTGAAGCCCTTGTCCTCTCGAATGCACTCATACGTTTCTCCAAGGACCGGGTTAAATGGCTTGCTCCCAGCTCGGAAGTAGCTAGACGCATACGCTGATACGGCAAAGGCAGCCACATACACCTAGGAGAGAAAGGAGAGGACTTGGTTATTTCTGCCTCACTAAGAATTTTTTTTCACAAAGTAATAAAATAAAAACCTTGATTTCTGTCTTGGAGGTTTTATTTCAGGAAGCCAAAAATTTGTCCTTAACTTAAAGACAATTAAACCAACATAGGTTTAAAGTTGTTGGTTTAAATAATATTCATTTTGGCTCAGAAACAAATTAAGCAAACATTTAAAACTGTCCACTCATTTTGATGCCTAAAATCCAGGAGATGTGATGAAGAGGATGACATTTACAAAACAAACTATGCTATTCAATGGAGTCTGGTACTTTCAGGCCCAATAGTATCTGGGAATCTTGATGTCATGGTTTCAGGTAACAAGGGCAGAGTATTAAAAAAAAAAAAGCCAAACTTCCTCCAAAAATTCAAGAGGAAGCATCACAAATTTGACCAATCACAACTTGATATTATAGAAAACTAAAAATTCATTTAGTCCAAGGGAAATCTTTAAGAGTCATTTCCTGCCTCTGAGGAACCAGCATAAAATAGAGTGGCTTTGAAGTTCTGATTTTCTAGGAGGAAAAGTAAAACATTAAAAAAAAAATTGGGAGGGAGACTATATGTGAACATGAAATGAGAAAATCTTTTCATGGCCTTCACTGTGAGGACCTCAACATTACCAGCCCCCTTTTAGAGCTTCAAAGAGATATTATCTTTCTTCTCCTCCTCCTCCTCCTCTTCCTCCTCCTTCTTCTTCTTCTCCTCCTTCTCCTTCTCCTTCTCCTTTTCTCTCTCTCTCTCCTTTTTGCCAAAAAAATTAAACTAAAGTATCAGTTTAACATTACAACTCCTAATATTGAGTTGTAATGATCTCAATATTTCTTATTCTCAGCCCAATTCAGGAAGTTTCTTTTTTCTTTTTTATAGTACTAAAAGGACGGAACCCGGGGTGTTTTAACACTAAACTATATCCCCAGACCTTTTTTTTTCCGAGTCAGGGGCTGGCTGAGTCACTGGGATTAAAGGTGTGTACCACTGTGCCCAGCTAATGAAATTTCTTATTTTGAAGAAAAACTGAGTGCTTTTTATAAATCTTCATGAGTCATTTAACTTCCTTTTGTAAAATGTTTGGGTGTTTCCTGTAACAGGATCCACCTTGCCACCTCATGCCACAGATTGCTCTAGAGCTGTTGGATAGTTTATACAAATCAACTCATGGGCGGGGGATGTGGTAGAGTACTTGCTTAGCATGCATGAGGCCCTGGGTTCAATTCTCAGCACTGGAAAAAAAAAAAAAAAGCAATTCTGTACACTCATATTACACTCATATCAGTCCTACCTGTGACTGCCTGTGTTCTTTTTTTTTTTTTTAAATGATTTTACTTTTTAACTACATGACAGCAGAATGCATTACAATTCTTATTACACATATAGAGCACAATTTTTCATATCTCTGTTTCTATATAAAGTATGTTCACACCAATTCATGTCTTCATATATGTACTTTGGATAATGATGTCCATCACATTCTACCATCATTGCTAATCCCCTGCCCCCTCCCTTCCCCTCCCACCCCTCTGCCATACCTAGAGTTCACCTATTCCTCCCATGCTCCCCCTCCCTACCCCACTATGAGTCAGACTCCTTATATCAGAGAAAACATTTGGCATTTGTTTTTGGGGATTGGCTAATTTCACTTAGCATTATCTTCTCCAACTCCATCCATTTACCTGTAAATGCCATGACTGTATTCTCTTTTATTGCTGAGTAATTAGAGAAATACAAATCAAAACTACTCTAAAATATCATCTCCCTCCAGTCAGAATGGCAGCTATTATGAAGACAAACAACAATAAGTGTTGGTGAGGATGTGGGGGAAAAGGCACACTCATACATGCTGGTGGGACTGCAAATTGGTGCAGCCAATATGGAAAGCAGTATGGAGATTTCCTTGGAAAACTGGGAATGGAACGACCATTTGACCAAGCTTTTCCTCTCCTCGGTCTATACCCAAAGGACTTAAAAACAGCATACTATAGGGACACAGCCACATCAATGTTTATAGCAGCACAATCCACAATAGCTAAACTGTGGAACCAACCTAGATGCCCTTCAGTAGATGAATGGATTTAAAAATGTGGTATATATACACAATGGAATATTACTCTGCCTGTGTTCTTGAAACCTGGTATCTGTTCCTTTCTCTGCTTTGTGTTTCTAACCTGTGAAACAGTAACATCACATTGTCTTTGTGGAATGCTGAATGATTCTGAATCACTTTAACAATTTAAAATGGAAAAAATTGATAAACGAGACTTTCATGATGTGAGGGGTAGGGAGGGAGCGCAGGGGAAGGCAAAATGAAGCACCTCCATTCCGGTTGGCGACACAACAAAGCATCTACACAGGAGAATATGGTAACCCCAGAACAGAGGACAAAGCCCACAATAAAGCTCCTGTTCAGTGGTTGTGCTGGGGAAGCTGTGAAGCCTTTTCTCAGGCTCAAGGTTAAGTTCATGGATCAATCAGCTGAACCTTCTAAAGGTCCGTAAATTGCCATAAGAATGAAATACCTTAAAGAATACTTTCACCATCAAAGTCAATTGTTTTCTTTAAAGAAAAAAACTTTCCACAATGTCCACTTTTAACATGTGCCTTAAAAACTATTTGCTTCCCTCTCTGGGCAAAGGAAACAAAGAAGTTAAAAAAAAAATCCACAAAGCTTGTTTTTCCTTCCATCCTTATCATCATTAGTATCAAAAAAGTCTTTGATGGGGGAGGGGGTCCGCAGCCTGAATGGAATGAGAATGGGATGTCTCTTTTGGTCAGCATGAGATTCCCTTTAATCTTCAAATCCCTGAAGTAATGAAGTTTTCATGAGGGTTAAAACTGTAGCATGCTTAGCATTTAGAAAAGATTTCATCTTCCACCAAGGGAAGGGGCTGGCTGGGTGAGGTCTGTGAAGTGTGCCTGGGAGAGAAAGTCTGCACTTGGAGGACTCTGCAGTCTCAGTGCCCCAGGCAGGCAAGGTCCTTACCACTGACCAGGTCACACGTGCAGCGGCCAAAACAACAAAGTCAGAAAAAGCTTTTCAGTGGTTTCAAGAATAAAGTTGCTGTTGTTGTGTAAACTCCCTGTATAAGAGGGAGGAAAAAGGGAATCTTTCTGATGTAAAAACCTCTTCCATGAATGATATTTTCCAAAAACTTAGGAATTGATTGGACAATTCCAGAAATAAAAATGGTCTCTAGGGAAATTTACTCTGGATGAGAAAAACTGCTCAAGAAATTAAATTCTGCCCACCCAAGGCAGTAAAAAAATAAACATGCTGACAGCCTGAAGGCCATGATTTGCAAGCCAAGCTGATCAGAACCATCAGATGGAAGCTTCTGGAGAAAGCAGAAGCACAAACCACAAAGCAGAACCACCCTAGGTGCCAGCTGTTTCAGAGAGGCCCCTTCCCAACCCAGATCCTGGCCAGGTTCCTGGACAGTGAGTGAGGGGAGGGCAGCAGGTATCTCGGAGAAATGAAACTCTCTCAGGAGCCACATGAGAGCCAGAGGGGACCAGCGTCTCTAAGCTCCACCATCTTGGCTCTGATGGGCCTGGTCAGTGGCCACGTGCCTCAGGACGGAGGCTGCGCAGTGACCTGGGAAGGTTGATCCTCACCATCCTTTCCAGGGGACTGGGGATTTGTGCAGCCTTGTCCAGCAGCTCACTGTACTCCAGCTCCTCACAGAGCCTCTGCAGCGTGTTCAGGGGCTCATTGAGCTCCACTGGCATGGCCACTTTGGACAGGTCCTTCCCGATATTGTTTCGCAGAATGTTCCACAAGCTGATGTTACTGGTGTTGGGACCTGGCGCCGGCAGGCAAGTTCTTCTTTTGGACCTTGCTTCCCCACCACTTTCAAGAACAGGCCCTGAAAGGGAAAGCAGCCTGGTTGTCTCTCAAAGCCTTTTATTTATTTATTTATTTATTTTTAAATCCACCAATAAAAGCTAACCTATCAAGAATCCATTTTTACTATTCAACTCAGTTAACTGGAGCATGACTAAAAGCCAAAAATAAGCAAAAGAATTTTGAACAATTATATATCAAAAATTAGGGCTAGCAGTGTAGCTCAGAAGTAGCACACATGCTTACTATGTGCAAGGCCCTGGGTTCAGTCCCCAGTCCCTATATCTACCTACTTCCCTAACTACCAAAACTTACCACAATGAAAACTCATGGACTTTATTTATAGGGAAGCCCTTAAGTTCCTACTCAAAAGCTAGTTCTTCATTGCTTTTATACACTCGGAATAAAACTGAAAATTGGATTTCTGTGACTATAGCAGGTTACATTTATAAAAAACTTAAGATACTTTTAAAAAAATCACTTCAAATTCTGATAAAAACAATTGTGTTTAGTATAGAAGAGCAATAAAGGAAATAACAGTCATCCATTATTCTACCCTCCACCCTCAACAGCAGCCATTTATATTTTGGAATATCTTCATTTAGTGTTTTTTCCAACCATATGCATAGTTTTATGTTCTTATTCAGCTAACAGAAGTATTTCCCCATGTTACTTAAAATTCTTCTAAAACATCATTTCAAATAACCACAAAAGTATTTCACATTATAAATTTGCCATGATTTATTGTTATTCATATTCTGTTGGACTATTAGATTCATTTCAATATTTTCTTATGATGCAAACAAAATAAAACCAGCAAACAAAAAGTCAGTAGTGAACATTCACGTATTTAGTAATCTATTTGATTATTTCCTTCGCATATAGAGAAGCCTGATGACTATGTTAGAGACTGGAAATTTTTAGACTGTTGATTGATACAATCAGAATGCTCTTCAAAAAGTCTAACAATGTCCTCATCTTTTGACAGCAAATGTGAATATTCATCTCCCGAGGCCTTTCTGCTTGTCACTGTTCATTTTTAATTTTTGTCACATTGTTAGATGGACGATGCTATTTTCTTGTTTTAATTTACATTTAAGAACTTTCTAATGTGGTCTGAAATGCTGTCATGAACACTGCTTTTTTTTTTTTTCTGAATTGTCTGCCTTCCTATGTACAAATTTAAACCATAACCTTTCATCTTTTTATTTGCTTTACAATTAGATCCCCTTTTGGCCTTTACCTTTAAATTTGATCCATGAAGTTTTGGGCAAATGAAATATTTACATTTCAGATATATAAATTTATTGATCTCTTCCTTTGCCTCATATTCTGAAACTCCTTTCTCATCCTAACTTTGCCTATTTTCAAATGATATCTTTTACATTACATCATATATCTTATCAATATATCTATGTACATATTTACTTATTTAACACTTACTCATTATAAAGCAAATAACTCTGAATAAAGAAGTTGCTTTGATGAACAGATGAGTACAAAATTGGGTCCCTACTTGGCAGTCTCTTGTAAATCTATGCAAGCAATTAATTGTTCAATTTGTTTTACTAGCTTATATGGGAAAAATAGGACACAGGGAAGTAGCTACAATTGACAGTAGTTTTTAAAAACAGCTTTACAGGCAGTCTCAAAATATTTTCTTTGATTATGCTAATCTAAATTTTGAAATCCTCCTCCATCATTGGCTAATGCATATTTTGCTTTTTAAACTGTGAATGTCAGTCTTCTATGTATTTTACACATATTATTCTCATTTATTCTTTATGACTACCTCTTGAGGTAAACAGCAATATTATTCCCATTTTATAGAGGAAGAAAATGAGGCATAGAGAAGTTAAGCAACCTGCCCTGCCACACATAGGTGGTGAGCAGCCGACCTCGAGTTGGCTAACCAACTTGAATCCATATTCTTAGCCACTTAACCTCCTCTTAGCACTCAGACAGTGATTGATCCTCACATGTGCCAGGTAATCTTTTTGAGAAAGAAATTAACAGGAAACATTCTAAATACCTAGTGTTTATATGGGCTCCAGGGAATTCAAGTGTAATATGTACAAAGACCTTGATTCAATCCTGTTTTCTCCTATAGGCTAAACAAGGTTATAGGACAGAAAAGTTATTTCATTTCTACATCCATCTTTGAAGATGTTTAGAGATCTAATCCTCCCTATCAGATGTCTGTAAAGAATGGAGGAACAAACATTTTTAGTATTCAAATACGAAGAAGAAAGCTCAGTTCTGCCCAGTGTTTGTTTAAGTGAGGGCAACACTAGGCAGAACACAAATAAGTCAGAGTAAACCAGCTCTGACTTGTTCTAAGAGACTCCTGGCCCTTGTCAAGCCAGCACAGCATGGTCTCAGGTTCTAGACCATATTCTTTATTTCAGACTTTGGCCTCTGAACTCTGCATGCTACAAGGACCAGTGCAGAGAAATGATTACTTGGTAGATTCTTTCAAGGGCACCTTCCTAAACAGGCTTTTGTGTGCTCATGAAAAGTCCTCCATCAGACCTGTTTGGAAAAATCCAGATTCTCCTTGCACCCCACAGTTCAAACTAGCATTAAGAAATACCTTTCCCTCTTGCAATCAAGCAGTAATAAGGGGACAACTTAGGATACCTTGAGGGAAGTGTGTTATTTTCAAGTGAATTATCTTAAAGAATCTGACTAAATTACCTCTTACACTAGATCTTTTATTATTTAAAACTCTTAGATTCCCAAAGGAAAGAGGCTATATTCTAATAACGTTTGCCGAAAGAATATTTTACTGCCTAAAGGACAGCTGTTATATCATGTTTAGATACTCACATAAAAACTGGTATACTTTTACTTTATAAAATAAAAATTCACAAAAACAGACAAAGTTATTTAAATGAATTTCTCTTTCAAGTGTGTGTGCTGTCTCTTCACCTAGACTGTAAAACCATGGAGGGTGGGGGCCATGTGCTAATTTTCTTATGTCATGCTGCTCAAGTTCTATTTGTGGCAAGCATTCTACGTATACTTATTAGGATTCCATGAAGATGCTAACTTTCAGAGATCAAATAATGCAAATCTTACCCAAGGTCTGTCTTTCATTATCTAAATCATTACTGAGATTATCCAAGGAAAGATTATCACTTATGTCACTGACATATGAATCGTCATCAGAGATCTATGGGAAAGAAGAAATAATATACATCAGAATGAAAATAAACAAAAGCCAGACTTTTATAATCCCCTTATTTTAAACGATCAAACATACTGCATCCTACATTACAAATCTATAGAAATAATTTTGGATGCTATTTTCATAGAGGCTAATACATCCATCTGCCTAGACAGTGTTCCTAGGAAAATACCTGTTATTAAAATTCTTATATATTCTTGGATAGTTCTTACAAGGAAAAATAGCAAGTAAACTCAAAATTTCTGTTATTATGAAAACTCTTATTAATTGTCTTATTAATCCAGACTGCAATTTCAGAATTTTGTCAGTGTCTGAGAGTCTGGTGTGGAGGTACATGCCTGTAATCCCAGTGGCTCAGGAGGCTGAATCAGGAGGATCAAAAGTTCAAAGCCAGCCTAAGCAACTTAGCAAGGCCCTAAGCAATTTAGCAAGAATCTGTCTCAAAATAAAAAATTGAAAAAAGGGCCAGGGATGTGGCTTAGTGGTTAAGCACCTGGGGTTCAATCCCTGGTACCAAAAAAAAAAAAAAAAAAAAAAAAGAAAGAAAAAAAGAAAGAAAAAGCAATTTGTAGTATTTGGGTAAAAGAAGTTACAATTTGTCTTTGAAATGTTTGTGAAAAAAAAAGGTCTTCTATGGGAATTAATATACAAACAAGACAAACAAGATTACTACTTCTATACTTAAGAGGCAATATTACTAGCACATATTCATAGTAATGTTAAATATGGTATGCAATATTCAAGAAAGTATGATTTTATACATTAATTTAAAGCAGTTTTATATTTATAAATTAATTCTATAATAACCACATAATGGTAACAATATAAAATTATGTAGCATATATTTAATAATTAAAAATATACAGAATGCTAATTTCTTTCCCTTTAATGGAAATATTATTAAATAAGTAGAAGTCAGAATTATCAACTTGCAATTTTAAAAAAGTGTGATTAAGTAATAGAAACAAGGAGGTTTCCAAAACTCTCCACTTTTACAACTGTTTTTCTTTTAGTATATTATTTCATTTTAGGCGTTTGGGGTATGACTTATGAGAGGACCTTCAAAAGGGGCCTAAGGGCCCCCCAAGCTTAGTGTTACAACATATAGATCTTTACTGAAAAGGTTAATCAACAAAGCCACAAAAGAGATTTTCAAGACACCTAGCTGAAAACAATGCCCAAACCTCATTTTCTGAAGAGCTTGGTGACAACAGAACTTCCTGTGCATCAAAAAACTCCGAAAGGGAGTCAGTGATGGAGAGCCTGCTTTCGTTGGAAAGCTGGTGAACCAGAGCTCGGTTTTCATCTCTGGAGTTTTCCTATTTAAAGAACAAACAACAACAATTTAAAAAAATGAATATGTTTAGAAAGAGTCTCAAGAGAATCTCCATAAACAAATGATTGAATTGCATAATACACAAAGGTCACAGGCCCATGCAAACAAGCAACTCAAAGCAGAGGTCCACTTCAAAGTCAAGGAGTGTTAAGCCTCACAAACAAAATGAATATGAAGTCCTTCCTCAAAAGGGAACTTCACCAAGGCATCATCAACACTCAAACACATGCTACAAATCTCACAGCAAAAAAAATGGCTGTCCAGGCCATTCTTTGTTCCGTTACAGAGGGGAAAATTCCAATTCTTTCTGAATCATATCCTCTTATTCGCTACCACCGCAGGGTGCGGGGTGCAGTCCGCTGAATGATGCTGAATGCACGTCTTTGCATGGCTGGGTCGTAGCCATTCAGCTTTCTCCTGCCCCTGTGAACTCTCAGAGGCCAATATGCTGTTTTTGAGGCATCCCTTGACAAATAAATACTGTGTTTTGGTCCAGAAGTGCTCCTGGTGGCAGATCATTCATTATTCATGGATAAGTGAGATGAATTCTCTTTGTCTCTCCACCCACAATGACTCTTCAAGGGAAGGAAACCCCAGATCCTTGGTATAAGCCTGGATACAAACACTCAATAGAGCACAGAGCCTTCCACCCTGCACTCCTCTGGGTTTAGACTTGTCCTTGGGGAAGACGTAAATACCCTGGGAGTGTGATTTCTAATCTTGTTGGAAGTAAAAATTCAATTCAACCCAACATATTAAGTGACTGATTCATATGCAGTCTTAGCTGGCTATGGAGGACTATAAAAAATAATAAAAGATCTCTAGCCTGAAAGGCTGGTGTAGAGAACACACCCCAACACACTAGACCAAGACCATGAAGAGACCACGGGCTACAGAAGCAGAGAGGAAGATGAGATTGACTCTACTTAGGGGTCCTGGGTTAGGGGATGGTTTCATGGAGGTGACATCTGACTTAGACCTTGAGGAAAAAAAAAAAAAACAGATTTAGAACAAGATGATTTAATTCCTTGGATTCAGAGAAGATCATTCCCCTCGGCTTCTGGATGGCTGGTATTTTTCACTGTGCTGGTAAAAAAGCTGCTCTTATACTATGGTGTATTTATTAAACAAGTTCCAGAACAGTCTGGCTAACAAAATGTAGATGTCATGCCCAGGGATTTAATGACTTCTGGATACCTTGCTGTGTCTCATAAACATAAATTATGCCCAAGGAGGGATGCTAGTACACGAGGGCCTACCAGAGTTCATAATTAATAAAAGGCACAGGGTCCCTTTAGGAAGTGTTCACTGTAGAACACATGGAAATATCTACCTTTTTCTCTTGGATTCTTCCTAAATAAGACCTTTGCCCCAGGTACTGGTTTAAAGATCTCACCTATTTAAATATCCGTGTAGCCTTCAGAAAAGCTACCCTGACAGAGTTCATTGTAGAATCTATAAATGATTATCAAAGCTATCATCTTAAGGGGACAGTCTTTCTCCTCAGAAGAGCCAGGCACAGAGCTATTGAGTGTGAAGACACTGCAGTGAATAATAGTTAAGCTCCTTAATGCTTCCTTAAACAGTAAAATTTTCCTGTGTCTCCAACATGCCCCACCATATGAGATGCTAATGATTTATTTACTTGTGCTATTTATTAATTCATTACTACACTCTCCTGCTCTCTCTCTTCCTCCTCCTTGACTTATGGGTCATAGGGATGTCCTGGATGATCAACACTGAAAATAATACAGGTTGAGCATTGCTTATCTGATATGCTTGGGAACAGATGTATTTTGGATTTCTGATTTTTCAATTTTTCAATCTGCACATATACCGATGAAGTATCCTGTGGTATCCAAATCTAAACATGAAATTCACTTATGTTTCATATACATCTTATATACATAGCCTGAAGTTCATCTTATTTAATATTTTAGTGTACTTGCATTTAAAATGAGACCTGTCACATGAGGTCAGGAATTTTCCACTTGTGGCATCATGTTGGTGCTCAAAAGGTTTTGGATTTTGAAGCATTCCAGGTTTTAGGAGTGCTCAACCCACATTCTTAACCCCTAACCCTTTCCAGTGCCCCCATTTCCAGGGCAAGTTCTTAGGAATGCATTTAAAAAGCTCATCTGGACAGCAGTAGCCACCAACCCCTAACATAATTTCCTGAACAACTCAGGGCCTCATTTGTTAAAAATAATAAAATTCAGTTCAATTCAATAGTTTCCCTGTTTCTACCCAAGAGTGGTTGTTTATCTATTATTTACATTACAAAAAAATTAAATAAATATAAACAGTAAACACTCATAATCCTATCATACCAAAATAACTACTACAAACTTTTGGACACATTTCTCCCCATTTTTTTTTTTTTTTTTTTGGAGACAGAATGGGTCTCAGCATGTTACTGGTCTTGAATTGGTGGGATCAAGTGCTCTTTCCACCTTTCACTCCCAAATTGCTGGGATTATAGGTGTGGGTTGCCACACCCAGCTATCTCTAATCTTTTTAATTTGTGTAGCTTTGTTCTGTTTTAAAATAACTAATCATTACACACACACACACATACACACACACACACAATTTATAAACTTTTCCCGAACATTGTACCAAAATCAATTTTTCAGTATTAATGTGTGTTGTAAGGATAAAAAAAATTCACATTAGAAAATACAGAAAAATGTAAAGAAAATAAATATCACTTCAATTTCCATCACCCAGATGCAGCTCTTCTAGCTTACTAGTACATATATTTTTAATTAAAATATTTGTATATACCTTTTTTATTTTGAAAAATGGGGATCAAATTGTATATTATCATTTACTGTCTGCTACATATGCTTAAATTATACTATAAACTTTTCTCAGGTCATTTAAAACTTCTCTGAGATGATGAACTTTAATTCATATTTTATCATATTTATGTGTTATAGAGTGACCATTCCCTATCTTGGAAATTAAGGAAGTTTCCAGATTTACAAAGATGGTGAGCATTTTGTAAATATGTCTTTGTTCATATCTCATTATTTCTTAGATTCAATTTTCAGAAATAGAATTATTAAAAATGTTTAAGGATACATATTACATTAACAAGTAAGAAAACTCCTATTTACATTCTTATATTAAGGGCCGTGAATATCACAATTTAGAACTGCTGTGCTAAGTTAGCTGTTTTACTTTTCAGTAGATTATATATCTTTTTTCTTTAAAAAAAAAAAAAAGATCTGTAGAGTTTAGATGTGAGGAAACGACAGGATAAATGGTGCATGGGCCCTTCCTCTGCATTACTCTGTACCTTCCCATGAGTTTATGAAGACAACCATGTATCATAGGCCAACATTTCTGTCAAAGGTCCCACAAGATTATAATAGAGCTGGAAACTTCCTGTTCCCTAGTGATGTCACATTTGTTGTAACGACAGTGCTAGGCATGACTTGTGTTTGTCATGCTGCCGGTGGAAATAAACTTACTGTGCTGCTAGTTGTATAAAAGTGCAGAACATACAATTATGTACAGCATATAGAGCTTGATGACTATTTTACTGGGTTATTTATGACACTTTTTATTTAATTTTGGACTGTATTCCTCCTACATTTTGTGTGTGTGTGTGTGTGTGTGTATATATATATATATATATATATATGAAAAATAAAAAATAAAAAAGTCAACTGTGAAACAGCCACAGGCAGGTCCTCAGGAAGGTTCCAGAAGCATTGCTGTCACAGGAAATGATGGCACTACGTGTTCTGCTGTCCCTGAAGACTGTCTCTGGCAAGATGTAGAAGTGGAAGACGGTGAGGTTGGTGATTCTGATTCTGCATAGGCCTACGCTAATGGGTGCTTGTGTCAGTTTTTAGCCAGAAAACATAAAAGACAAATGCAATACCATAAAACATTTCTAAAATAGCTAATAGCATATAACCTTGGTGTGTAGAAGGCTATCCCATCCAGGTTTCTATACATACACTCGATAGTGTTCACACAAGAAATCGCACAATGATATTTTTCTTATAACATATCCTAGTAGTGAAGGGATAAGGCTGAATTGAAAAACAAAAATTTAAAGCAAAAATAAAAAAATAAAAAAAATTGTGGTGCATGCCTGAAATCCAGTGGCTCAGGAGGCTGAGGCATGAGGATCACAAGTTCAAATCCAGCCTCAGCAATGGTGAGGCGCTAAGCAACTCAGTGAGATAATAAAATAAAATACAGAGTAGGAGTAGGGATGTGGCTCCCTGGTCGAGTACCCCTGAGTTCAATCCCTGGTACCAAAAAAAAAAAAAAAAAAAAATCCCACAACTGTCTGCATTATATCCTTTTCCATTTATTTGCTAAGGTTTTAAGGTACTTGACATGATTTGTTCGTTGTTTGCATATTAAGCACACTATCATTGATTTAGTATCATTTAAGCCTGTCATTCTCACTGAAAATATTTTTCATAGTCTATTATTTGCCTTTCTATTTTTTGACAAAATCCATTTTTTTCCTAAAAGAAATAGTCAAATCTAGTCAACATTACTTTTGCAATTTTTAAAGTACTTCCCAATTTAGGAAATTATCCCTGATCTAGTAGTTTGATAAATATTCAAATCAATATTTTTCAGTTTAAATTTTTATATTTAACTTGAATTGGCTGGTGATTCATTTTAACATGCAATGCAAAGACTTCAGCTTCTTCACAAATAGCTTTGATCTGCACTAACCTAATTTATTAAGTAATCTATCTCTTCTCCATTGGCTTTTAATCCCTTTCTCATTTATTTATTTTATATATAAAATAGTGTTTGTGCCTGGGAGAGTCATGCTGTCCCATTCTTATAGCATCACCATCTCATTTTAAATACTGGAGCTTCAGTGATTAATTTATTTTCCGGTGTGGCATACCTTTCCTCATTATATGACAGTGTGATGCTATAGAGCAAACGTGCTTTGGCTTAATTAATTAATTAATTAATTTCTATGTAGTGCTGAGGATCAAACCCAGGACCTCGTCCATGCTAGGGGAGTGCTCTACCGCTGAGTCACAACCCCAGCCCCATCAGATAGGGATTTAAATCCCAGCTTTGTTTCTAAAATCTGTGTGTCTCAGAAAAGTTATTTAACCTCTCTGGGCTTTATTTTCCTTATCTCTAAAATCAGAGTCAAGGGTAGGATTTTGGGATATGATGCATTTAAATGTGCCTGCAGTGCAGCGCCAAGCAGGTAGGCAATTAAAATAATTCAGTTTCCTTCTTCACTTTCAGACTTTTTAAAAAAGTTTTTGCCTTTTTAGTCTCATAACTGCACTTTAAATGCAAAAGGATATATGAAAGGCACGGTGTACACAGATAAGCTCAGTAACTTGGGAGGCTGCAGCACGGGGATCACAAATTCAAGGCCAGCCTCAGGAACTTAGTGAAATCCTGTCTCAAAAATCAAATAAAAAACAGCTGAGAATGTAGCTCAGTGGTAGAGTGGCCCTGAGTTCAATCCCCAGAACTGAAGAGGGGTGGGGGGCGCGTAGAAGGTTGTTACCTCCAAAAGTCATTCAGCCTTTCATTTGGGATATAAAATAATATAAAATCATCTTAGCACTGATAACCCAATAATATCAAATTTTCACATTCAGGAATTTAAAACAGGAGGGACTTGATAGGTTGTGAAAATAATTTCTGACAGGAAAAGAGGGATTTTAGAATTCAGGTAGCCAGATCCAACATCAAAGATGGGTAAGTTGTGCTGCTAAAAGAAAGCAAGCCATTGACATTAAAGACCCTAAAATCTGAGCCCCTTGGGCTGCCCCCAATGTTGGGGGCTGTCATTCCAGAGTATTTGAGGTGTCTGGGAGTTACCTATAAAAATCAACTGGAGTCGAACTTTCATTTCTACTTCCTCCAGTGCTTATTTCCTGAAGGCAACAATGGCTTTCCCCTTGCTGGCAAAGTAAGCCTGAGTCACTCTGTGCCTAAAAGGACAACTCATGGGAAAAGAAAATCTCTAAAACAGGAAATAAAGGAGACAACTCCATCACTGAGCCAAGACTCCGGAAGGCTGTTCCAGAAAGTGTGAGTTTGAAAAATGTGCTTGCCACCCTCAAGGACAGTTTAACTACATGTAAGTTTTCAGGTATCTTATTTTTGAGATTAGTATAAACTACGGATTTTTAGGTTAGTATAAAAATACAGATTTTTAAAGACTTGGGATTTGAATTTCCATCTCAAAACACAAATAGCCCCGAATACACATGCTGAGCATAAAATCTTAAAGATATAAATGAAGGTTATCTATTTCACTATTTATTAAATGTATAAATGTAATTTACATGATAATGCTGTGGAAGAGACAAGCTGTCTTTAGGAACAGTCACGATTGCCCTGGTGTTGGCATGAATGACCCTCAGTGACACCCGTCGCAGCCTTGCCTAGGTTGCCTTTAGTGAATGGGCAGGTTTGAGGAGGCCCCACCTGGTGAGCACATGTCTTGGAACAGGCCACAAAAGGAGACCAGTGTAAGTATTGCTAAGGGGCTAAGTCCTGCAGGTAACACTTTAGAGTTGGGCTGGAATAACTGAAAAGTGATCTTTTGGAGGAGGTGGTGTGTCTGTAGAGGAATCCCATTTCTCCACCTCGGCCATGAGCCTCTGCACAGAGGGTTGCCCTCTTGTCAGATGAATGGGCCTGCAAAAGGCACAGCCTGTGCTTCAGTCAGGGAGACACTGTGGCCTTGTGGTCTCTATCCTGACTGGTTTCAGCCTCTGTTCTTCTCATCACTCAATCCAAGAGCTGCCCATGGGACAATGGAATTGTGTGAGGGTTTTGTTTTCTTTGAAGACAGGAAAAGATAAAAGAAAGATTATGATACACATTTAAAAAAAATTATGCCAGGTGGGGTGGTGCCTGCACATAATCCCGGTGATTTAAGAGGCTGAGGCAGAGGATCACAAGTTGGAAGCCAGTTGTACCAACTTATGAGACCTCGACTTTAAAAACAAAAAAAAAAAAGAAAGAAAGAAAGAAAAATTTATTCATATGCACAGACACCCTTTGTCTATTATGTTCCTTATTTTTTATTTTAAGTCTTTTCATTAGTCTCCAATCTAATGAAAAGACTTTTAATGTACTTTTTTCTGACCAAGAGACTTCAATTGTAATGCAATATTCTTTCCCTCAGAGTACATAGCTGCTGTGTTCCATAAAGGAAAGAAATTTTGCAGGAAGAGGAGGAGGGGACAGCAGCAACTTTTTCAAGCAAAAGAAGGAAGTTGGCAAGGAGCTGGGATGCTATGGGCCAAAGAAATTTAGTTTTCTGCAGACACAACAGGAAAAACGTTTGCCTCTCCAAAGCCCCCACTCCCCTAACACCTAGCTAGCAAAAGGGGTGATGCTTAGGAGGGAAATGAGAAGAAGAAATACAGAAGGAAAAATGAATTTGGGGGACACACAGTTTAAAAATGTGCTTAGCAGCATACATTCAAGAAAGCTTTGCATCCCGAAAATCCAGTCCATGTGGCAGCTGTGACCGCAGCTGGTGGTGGTGGAGAGGCAGCCCACTCAGTAGGTGCAGTAGGAAGGCCATGCGACTGGACAGAGGACATCCCACGAAGGGAGGGTTGCAGAGACATTACCTGGCAAGAAACCTACCCACCTCTGCCAGATTGTCACCCAGTTTGGCAACAGCGGGCGAGTCGAGGAGCAGAGACTCGGCATGGATTCTGCGTAAGCGTTCTTTAAGATCTGTGTTTTGTGCTAGGGCCTGGAACATGTTAAAAATAGTGGGGCTCTGTTAATAAATGGATGTTTCTGAGCAGCCCAGCAGGTACCCACAGAAGCCCTATGTGGGAGCACCCTGATCCTCGGGGAGGCCAGTCTCAGAGCCAGGAGAGAACAAACCCGCAACCCTGGAAATGCTGCTCTTCACTACTCTCTTCTCCAGGAGTGGAAGGAGAGTTAGTGAGGGCGGCAGAGAAGGAAGTCACAGGCACCACCAGCTTTTATTAAGACTGGTGGTCTCACAGCTTCTCCTCCTCCTACCCAACTGGCTTTGGTCTCTTTGACCAACAACCCCCTCCCCACTCCTGTGCAATGATTCCAAGCTTTTCTCATCCTTGAAAAGAAACCACTCCCACCTTAGGATTGGTTTAATTTTCACACCAGTTAAACTGAATCTTAGGAAGTGTGCCAGGAAGGAGGACACAGAAGGTTAATTTTACTCTTTTTCCAACACAGGTGCTGATTATTTTATTTGTTTTTCATGACTAAGGTTTTTTTTTTTTTTTTTTTTTTTTTTAATAAACAAACCTCACTTACCTGCATAAGGATTTATGGACCATGGGAACAGAAACGTATATGGGACCTCTTTTACTCTCCTCTGTGCAAATCCCATTCCTTCCATCAGCCTCTCAAATAGGAGAGACCCGGTCAAAGGTAAAGGAACATGCCTCCTGCTCACTGATCCTCCTACACACTTCCTGACCAGCTAGTCTCCAAATGGTTCTGTCTTTGGATAAGGATGAATGCTCCTGAACGTCCCCCAACACTCCCTTAATCAGCTCCAGAGTCGCTTTTACACAGATCCATCCCATTTGTCTGACTCTTCTAAGAAGCTCAGAGACTTTCCCAGCTGTTGGGGCCTACAGGGCCCACCCACTGGGAGCTTAGTCCACTGCCTGGATCTTCAGTGAGGTTTTTGGCTTGATGTTTTAGTATCCATGGAAGGTACAGGTTGTTTAAAAATCCTCAAGAACTGAGCTGGCATGATAGCTCGGTGGTATGCCCTCGCCTAGCAAGCACTGGGTCAAGGTTTGATCCCTGGAACTGAAAAGAAGATCCTCAGGGCTCATTTAAGAAACACTGAATAAGAACTAGGGTCATTACAATGACATAAACAATCTCTTTGGGGCACTCACTTCATTCTGGTCAATACATCACTGGTATGGTGGCTAGGCGCTTAGTTTAGCCTAGAAATTGTGTTATATTAGTGGCTTCTCTTTCTTTTGTGAACCACAGGCAGAGCTAAGAAACAAACCAAGATTACTTGTTCAGCACCAGCCTATCCTTTCTGATAGCTTTGAGATGATTTTAAAAAAAAAAATTACTTTAAAAAATCTTGGACCAAATCAGGAATCCAAGACAAAAAGGAAAGAAAGGATTGTCCTGTTTGATCTTAAGTTTCCAAAATTGTGAACATGGGTGAAAGAGAATTCCTTAGCAAAGATGAAAATGACTTTGGTCCAGGAAACTATGGCCAAGTATGTCTTGATGTCCACACAAGCAGTTTAACAAGATGAGGCCAGACTCTGTGAGAGGGGGCTAGGAAGAGGGAGACGAGGGGGGGGGAAGAATGTTGAGGAACTCACAAGAGGCACTTAGTGCACCAAGAGCCAATCTAATGGGAACAATAAGAAGTATTTTGTACCACTAAGAAAGCAGAGAAGGGAAGGAAAGAAAAGAAATAAAATAAAACAAAACCACTCTGCTGCTCTCAAACCAAAATAGGAACCTTGTGTGGCTGGCTATTCACTGTGATCCAAATGGATGTGCTTCTCTGACCTTAAAATAATACTAAGACTTGAAGCCAATATCATTTTTTTTCTTTTTACTTTTTCTTCCAAAGATAGCATTCTTTGAATTGTTAATTATAAGAGCTAATGGCAAAGGATTCGTCCTTAACACTACATCAAGAACATTACTTTTCTTAGCCACAAAATGAATAGAAAATATGAGTGGACATTTTCTCTCAGCATCTCATAACAAGATCCTAAAATTCATCTTCCCTACCCAACCTGAAATAGAAAACTCGAATCTGCTTCAGATGGTAATTTCATATGTGCACACACACTTTCTCCTTTTAAAGCAGTAATTTCAAAGTATGAGCGAAGAGTCGGAGCATACAAGTGTTCGGTCTCAGAAATTCTCTAGCTCTCATGGATACAGGGAGAGGGCCAGACAACTTCAGCTATTCAAACAGAGCACATCAATCAAGCCCAACTATGCTGAGGTTTGAATTAAAGTGGATGAGAAAAAGGAGAGTGAGTGACAGAAGGGCTTACTCAAACACATCTGAAGCCTTGACAGTGATTTTTCTGTTACACTTTCCTTTCACCATCATTACCTGACAGACACTCCTGTGTGACTCTTCTCTTTGTGCCCATGGCAGAGGGAAAGCTAAATGTTTTGTACTATGTAATCAAATAAAATAACTTTTGTGTCTCTGAAAGAGCAATAAATAGGATCAGTGCTTTGCCGTAGAGAAGATAAGACTGTCAACTGGAAATTTGTCTCTGTTGCCTGTCATGTGTTAAGCTACTCTAAGCTTGTGGTGTCTCAGGGTGCACACAATCTCCTCCAAACTGTTAGATTTTGTAAGCATTAACAAATGTGTGAGACACACACAAATACACAACAAGAGTTTTATAGAAACAGAAAAATTAAGATAAATTGGAGAGAACTAAAGGAATCTAACACACAATAAAATACTAGCTACTAAGATTGGGGGTAGGGTAAATTTTGTTATTTTTGAATATGTATTGTCTCAGGAAAGGTCAGAATGTAATTTGGATAATTTGCTTGGTTTTCTCCTGAATTTTCAACCTAACCATGAAAATCATGAATTTTCAACAGAACCATGGAAATGGAAAATATAATAATTGACAAGCCAGAACACGTTTGCAGGCATTTCCGTGACTCAGACATGTAACTTACGGATGACAGAGCGTGCTTCAGACCGATGACCTGAGCAGAAGGGGAGGAGGTGGCATCCTGATCCATCAGCTGCTTCAGTTTCTCTCTCTCCGTTGATATGGTATTAAAAGCTGACCTTAAGGCGAAGTAAACTATGAAGATATAATCATAATGAGAAGGAATAAAGGAAGTGGCATAATTGAAAACAAAATACAGTAAAATGTTTTTCTTTTAAAAAAAAATTTAGCCAAATAACAGCCTCAAATATTTTGAGTGCAGAAAAAAATATCCTCTACATGGATAACAGCCCCAAATATTATACAGGACTTTTAAAAAACACATTTGCAATGTATCGCAGCAAGAGTGAACTCTGATGTAAACTACAGGCTCTGGGTGATAATGACCTGTCAATGCAGGTTCTTCAAATGTAACTTGTCCCACTCTGATGTGGGTGCTGACTGTGGGGGAGGCTGTGCCTTTATGAGGGGTGGCCAGAAGATATGGGAATTCTTTATATCTTTTGCTAAGGATCTAAAACTGCGTGAAAAAAGAAAAATCTTAAACTTCACACACATATGCACATTTACAGATTCTCAATGACTAGCAGTTTTTCGTTTTGTTTTGTTTGTAATCTCTAAAGACTGGAAATGGTTAAGAACAAGGCTTACTGGGTATGGTAAGAATGCGCAGAGAAACTAGACATCCCTTTAACCAGGTGATCACAATGAATTAAAAATGAGGGTTAAGCGGGCTCTGGATAGAACACCCTGAAAAAGACACAGCATCTTCTTTGGTGAATGTCAGCCAGGGGTAAGCAATCTGGATTTGATCATGAGGAAATGTAAGACAACTGGCCTGCATTCTTCAAAAGTATCAATTTTATAGAAGAGAAAAAATGACTGAGGAAATGCTCCCAATTAAAGAGGCTAAAGAGGCAAGAAGATGAAATGCAATATATGATCATGGATCAGATACTGTACCAAGGGGAAAACGACATGTAACTTTTGACAACATTTGATTTTGATGTAGAAGGCAGAATAGATAAGAAGTGCTGTTTTAATACTACAATTCCCGAATTAGATAACTATACTATGGCCATGTAACAGGGTAGCCCTATGTTCAGGAAACTTACACTAAAGTATAAAGCCATAAAGAATGACATATGCATAAATCCTCCTCTCAAATGCTTCCAAAAATTAAAAGTGTGTATATAGAAAGAGACAGTGATAAAAATAAATGTGGCAAAATAAAAATGGTAAATCCTCATAAAGGGTATGTGAGAGCTCTCTGTACTATTCTTGTAACTTTCCTGGAAATTTGAAAATTATTTCAGAATACAGTATTGCCTACCCTCTACCTTGTTAGTGCTTCCAGTTGCAGGACCAGAATTCCCACTTCAACTTATGGCACTCAGCCACTCTGTTCACTTTCAAGGACTTTAGCCCTATTAGGTACTCAAATGATTGAACCAAAGTTTTGAAAAACATGAACACATATGGCAAAAAAAAAAAAAAAAATCTATCAGCTTTTGATCACATAATGCATAAATTACCTCCTAAGGATGAGGAAATTGTCATCTAAATTACTGTTCATGGATATCACATTTGAATATTATCTTTCCAATGTCCTTTATTATGTTTTGTTTTAGAGAGGCAGGAATAAGGAAGAGATGGAGACACACTTCTCAAATGACCTGTCATTTACTGGATTCCATGGGCTTGCACTTTCAGAGGTATTGTTATCCAAGAGTGGCCTATTTAGTAACACAGAAACTAAATACACTTTATTGACTTACTTCCTGCATTTAATAGCAAGGAGAACAGCAAAGAGAACCTATCTATGTGTTCTCTCTGAACTTGTTTGAGGTGGTGCATTTAGTGATGAGCTTAAAGCATCTTTAGAAAGTCACAATACAAAAAATCAATTTTCACACACACACACAAATGGTGCTGCTTCTATCAACAGAAGAGAGAAGTCACTTGTTCACTTCATAACTTTAGATAAGTATATGAGGCCTGGACCCTAGTTTCCCCCCATGCAATGGGGATGATAACAGCATTTGCTTTATAGATTGCTATAAAGACAAACAAGATAATGCAGTTAAGGCACTTAACCCAGAGCAGGGCATGTGATAAATAATAAATGCTACTGTGATGATGATGAAGAGACATCCATGAGGGTAAAAGTAGTGGTGATGCAGCCTCCTGATGTGAGCAGCAGCTGTAGCAGAATATCTCTTGCCAGGATAATGCTTGCAAATAACTGCACACTGAGTAGAGATTCAATGAATGAGGGACTGGGCAGAGTCTACTGAGCCAGAGAGCAGCCTTGGGAGGAGAGCGATAAGCCATGCTGTGATCTCACTGCATTTGATGATTTTGATGTCCCATTAGCTAAGCATCCCCATCCCCAGCATGGAGGAACCCCATGACCTTCTCAATAGGTCCCTAGGAGTTAGGGGAGTGGCTATTTCTTCACTATTACATTTATTCCTCCAAATAAAATAATCGTAGCACTCAGCTGGCTGCCACTTTCCCAAATCGATTCTTCTGGCTTTTATATGCCCTGTTACAAAGCAAAACTTTCAACCAAACTAGAAGATTTCTTTCTAAAATTTTGAAACTTGCAGAATACGCACTATTTGGTTCAAAATGTATAGCTAAGACTGTGGTGAGCAGCATAAAATAAACAGAAGGAAACCCATATACTCTTTATATTTTATTGTAAGGTGAAAATCTCTTCCTCAATCATTTGACAAAGGGGTTCAGGAGACTAGATCCCTCTGCATTTCTTAAGTGACCATTAAGGTCCACTCAGAGGATGATAAAGTAGCCATTCAGAGCCACTGAATGATGTAGCACACACAGAGCAATGACTTGAGGCTGCTCATGGAGGATATATTTAAGTCAATTGTCAAAGGAACAGGATCCCAAAGGCCTGGGATATTTCCTGTGACAGGAATGTCTTATTTCCAACTTGATTCTAAGTATATTAGAGACAAATAAAAATCCAAATGAATACTGTATCTATGGACACTAATAAACAAAGCCACATGGAAAGTCTGAGACAGAATTACGAAGAAYCTCAAAGAGCACCAGAGCCACTCACCCCAGAGCATGACAGTCCCTCCCCACCCCCAAAGACCTTGCCAGGTGGTCTACAGGCCCATGCTTCTCAGAGTCCTTGCTATCTTCTGAAGCAAGTATATTCTGCTCTGGGACTTAGTCCCTCCTGTTCCTAAGACATTTGCTTTGGTTTCTTCTCATTGCAAAACAGGACCACTTCCTTTTTTTGTGGGGTATTCAAGTTTCAGAAGACAATTATGGGACCTCGGTTTATTCATTTTCTCCCCCCAGGTTATCATTAGCCATTTCTCAGCCCCCCTTGCTGGACTAAGAGAGTGGGACTTTTGGCTGYAAGACTTAAGCATAAGTGGGTGATGTGAGCTGCACCCACAGAGCAGAACAGCACAAGCACCACACAACAGACTGGTGTCAGCACTGTTCCCCTTGCAACAGGCTTCTGTGTTGTACTTTTAGTGAGTTGGACTTTTATTGGTGAGATTATATTACATGGCATATTTGAGTGGCAACAGCTGATCTGAGAGCTCTACTTCTTAACATGTTCCTTCTTTAGCAGTTTTTCAGCATCAGGAAGGAATAAGATCTTGAGGAACACAGTTATGAATGTCATGGACACCACCCCTGGAGAGGCAGTGTGAGACAGGGGAAAGAGAGTCTATAATGAGGCAAACATGAACTTAAATCCTGCCTTTAATGCTTAATTGCTGTTTAGATTTTGGACAAATGCTTGTTTCCACACCTATATATTTGGGTAATCCCTATATCTCAGGAGTGCTTCAGAGAAACAATGAGAAAACACACTATCAGCACTCAACACACAGTAGGACTATTTTTCTTTTTAATAGAATCCACTTTTTTATTTGAGCTATCTTTAAAATATTAATATTCTTTTTTAAAAATATTTTTTCAGTTATATATGGACACAACATCTTTATTTATTTTTACGTCGTGCTGAGGATGAACCCAGTGCCTCATGGTGTGAGGCAAGCACTCTACCACTGAGCTACAGCCCTAGTCCCTAAAATATTAATATTCTTAAAATATTTGGGATGATTTGATCTTCTGCAATCTGCTTAAGTTTCAAACCTCATAGGATATCCATGGTTCTAAAATATTTTCTAATTCGTATTCCATCCAAACTGATTTAGATACGTTAGGTAATTTTACTAACTGGTGCCACTGATTTACTGATAAAGTACATGAATATAATTGCTCAGCAAGCTTATACTGAATTCTAATTTATGAATAATACATTTTAATCCATGAAAGAGTTATCATGGAGGCATACTTGGCATCCATATACTTAAAACAGTTCAGAAAATGACAATTACAACTCAATGCAAGAAAAGACTCCAGGAATAAAACAATAAGTAAATGTAATTTCACTTTGTGCTTTAGCTTTTCGTTTTTTCTCTTAGTTTTTATTATGGCTTACTTGATGACTCATAAGTTAATTTTTTAACATTTTATTTATTTATTTATTTTATGTGGTGTTGAGGATTGAACCCGGTGCCTCACACGTGTTAGGCAAGCGCTCTACCGCTGAGCCCCAGCCTCAGCCCAAAGTTTTTACATTTATAAATGAGGATTTCCCTCACCTCTTGGAAAAGAATTCAAGTCTTGTTTCCTTTCCATGGCAGAGCATGAATATCCACTTCCATCTGGAGAACCCTGACTCTAGTCCCATCCTTTCCCTTGCTTTCTCACCCTAAATCTTTTTACCAAGTTTGGCCATTTCTGTCTCTGCTGCTAACAGAATAGTCTCTCATAAAACCTTGCAACAGTAATCAACGTTGTGAATTCTCTCTGTTCAGCATAAAATAATCATAGAAGACAATGATAGAAGAGTCAGGACTGCTATTTTAGAACACTTAATAGATAAAGCAAAGGAGGGCAGAAAGGTAAACCAGGAATGCACAGGTGGTTGGTAACAGAGGTGGCCTGCTCAGTCAGTATAGGCTTATTAGTCACCGTGCTTCCTAAAGTATTTTCCCAAGGACTTTATTTCCGGGTTGTTAATAGCTGGTGGGGAGTAGAGAGTTTCCCAAATAACATTCAAAATCACTGAGTCATGCTGGGCRTGGTGGCTGAAATCCCAGCGGCTCAGGGAGCTGAGTCAGGAGGATCACGAGTTCAAGTCTTAGCAACTTAGCAAGGCCATAAGCAACTCAGAGAGACCCTGTCTAAATAAAATACAAAAAGGGGTGGGGATGTGACTCAGTGGTAGAGTGCCCCTGAGTTCAATCCCCAGTACCAAAAAAAAAAAAAAAAGGTCAGGTTTCATTGCTGTAGGATTTCTCAGGATCTTGACTACTTAGTTTGTGTGAATCCAGAGGGAACCGTATTTTCCAAACACTTTAAATCATTAAATTCTTGTTTGAAGTTTTAATCATTTTGTGGGTAAAGTGTTTCATAAAATACACTTTGGGAAATGTAAAAGCTAATATATGAAAGAAAAATAATGGCTTTTAGGTTTGGTATATTTTCATCTGTTTGCTTAATTAGGTGTCAACAGACAAAGCCTGAAGCTTGAACTTTGAGTATCAGTTCAACAATGTACCAAAAAATCAAGTTCACAGCTTGTCATGTCTAACAAGGACTTTAAATAATAGGATAGGTATATGTTGGGTTCTACTTGGTCTATAAAACCAGGAGAATTCAGATGCATTTGACAAGTAGGTCACACAGACTGTTACATCAATGGAATTTAGCTGCTTCAAAATTAGCCCCCTAGAACAGGGATGCTGGCAAAAAAAAAAAAAAAAAAGAAGCAATAGGCCCCATCAGTAACCAAACAAGGCTTACACAGGAAGACAGGTCAAGATGCTTGAGTTGGAAGACGTGAAAGCAGAAAAGCATGTCAGTCAGAGGACTACCAGCAAATCTGAGAGCTGTTTATTCCCTGAAGCCCCACAAGTAGGGTCCACGGAGGAGACTTCCTGCAAGTGTGAATGCACACAAGCTCCTTAGGCTGCCTGTGGTACTCACAGTCCAACAGCCCAGGGGATGAGGATGTTGATGACCTTTCTTGCAGCACTAACTTTGACCTCCTTGAGGTACATGGTGACTCTGCAGCCAGCTGATTTCACAGAGCCCCCAAAGACAGAACAGCTGGCTGGGGGTCCATTACAGACCTTCAGAGACGTGGAGATTATATGGGTGATCAGGTGACCAGATGAATGGAGCCACTCTACACAGAACCTCTGCCCTGACAAGGGAGCAGCTTCTGCCACCTGGATAAAATCCAAGGTCTTTCCCTGCAGTAGGGAGGCATCGACTTTTCATTTAAAACAGACAGTGCATATTATTAAAAAGTAATGATGTTTTAAAAGAATTTCCTCCCCATAAACCTAAAATGCTCTAGATGTAACTGTTTTTCTTTAAATATTAAAAAATGCCCAAGGGGCATTTAAAAAGCTCTTAAGGGGTGGGCCAGGCAACCCTTCACATTTACAGACAGACTGTATAATAGCAAAATAATTACAGACAGAAAAAATAATTTTTATCCTCTAAAACACTGAGACATTCTAGTGGTGAATAAGATAGGGTCTGAGGGAGGAATCTGTTAAAAACATGAAATGGGTTACTTTAAAAATGTAATATATTTTCTCTTTAAGAAAAGTTTAAAATGTATGAAAATTTAAAGAAAAAAGATGATAAGTACTTATAATTTCAGCCTCCATCATGAAAACACTTCTAGAATTTTTAGTGTACCTATGTATGCCAGGCATATATCAATTTTTTTCCTTGAAAAATGGGGCCATACCTATACAATGTTTTGTAACATTTCATTTTTATGCAATGACACACTGTGGGGCATCTTTTCCATGTCTATAAAAATTAACCATGGCTACCTCCTGTAAGGTCAGAGAAACACCCTTATAAGTAAGGAGCATGTAAATTGGGGTCAGGCAAGTTGGGATTCAAGTCTCAGGCTGGCTACTTTATAATCACAAGATCCTCCTTTAGCTTCTCCAAGCCTCTGGTCTCTCATCTCTGCAACAGAGATTTAAATATTTTATTGCTCAGCAGTTTTCCATTATATTATGGGATGTAACATGGTTTGTTTAACAGTTTGTTTGTTGACGGACACTGAGTTGTTTCCAGTCTTTGGCTTACACAAATAAACCTGCTCTGAACATTTGAGTATAGGTTTTTACATGGACATAAATTTTAATTTCTCTAGGATAAACACCCAGGAATGTGAATGTTGGGTTGTATGGTGAGTATGTTTGGTTTTACATAACACWACCAAACTACTTTCCAGAGCACTGCACCATTTAACATTTAATACAGCCACCAGCAATATATAAGAGATTCTGTTCCTGTGGATCTCACCAGTATTTGATTTGGTACGCCATTAAAAAAAATTAGCTGTTCTAATAGGTGTGTAGTGTTATCTCATCAATGACTTTAATTTGCATTTCCCTAATAGCTAAAGATGTTGAACACCCATTTCTAACTTTTGATTCAAAGAAACAATGCTATAGTGGATAGTCTTACTTGGATAAATTTTAAGTTAATTGCTACAAATAGACTCTTCAAAGTGAAACTGCTTGATAGGCATATTTTAAAAAATGCTTGAAACATAATATCATATTTTTCTCCAGAAAAGTAAACTGCCCAGCTTTTAGAATGTCATCCCTTAGTATCACATTCTCCTGTATACTTTACAGCATCTCTTGATGACTTATGATACCTAATAAATGTAAATGCTGGGAAAATAGTTTTATATTGCATTGTTTAGGGAATAATGACAAAAAAGTCTGTAGCTGTGATTTTTTTTAGAGAAATATTTTCAATTTGCAGTTTGTTGGATCTAGGGCTTCTGTCAACTGTATAGCAAACAATCTCCCTGTCTCTTCTAAGAGGTTAAAAAGGAAACTTTCGAATGCACCTCCACTATCAAGGAAATGAATACAAATTAGTTTGCTCACGTTCTTAATAGAGCAGAAAATGAACCAACTATGACACGCTCTCCAAGGACATTCCAGTTTCAGGCTTGTGTCGAACACATTCATCAAACACACTAAAAAGAAGGAAAGCTCACTTACCTTTATGGGCAACATGACACAGATCTTCCTGCATTTTAGAAAACTCTGATGAGGTTTCAGAACCATCAGAATAATTTTTATCTTCTCCAAAATCTAGTGTTGACAGATTAGGATTGGAGGAGTGTAGTCTTACAGGGCCAGAAAAAGGTTTAGGGACCTAAAGTGACACCAAAGGGAGAGATTTCTGTTCAGATGCAGACTGTTCAGAACATGTACTTGATTCTAAGATTGGAACCTATTAAGGAAAGAACATTTTATAGGGAAGTTTTCCTACTTACTGAGTGTTAACTTGGAAGAAAAACAAATAAAAACTCAGGAGAAAACTTTCCACAGCAACTTGATTCTTATGAAATAAAAATGGGTGAAAAAAATCACATACTCATTTGGAGATGATAGAAGTATTAAAGCTATGGATTGAAAATGACAGCTAAACCTGCCAGGCTTTCATTTATACTCAGTTCCTTCCTCCCTTCTGCCATCATCACCAAGCAACTAGATGCTAATAATGAATAGGTTTTAAAATGCTCTTCTTTATTTGCGCTGGGGCTTCTACAAAACATACTAGCTTCTCACATGAGTGCATGGAACATTCTTTACTTTGAAAATATTTAAGTTCAACATATAAAGTGCTTTGATCCAAAGAGTATATACAAGAGTACATCAGATCCAAAAGCTTAAGATTTGTTTTTATTCTAACAGTGTTGCCGTTTAATATGTAATATGTAATGCTATTTAATATGTAATATGCAAATCTCGGCCTGTGATTTAGCTGTGCATTGGAAAAGACAGCTCCTAGAATGACACAATGAATTTTTGGTGGGGAACTGAAAGTCTGGAGAAAAATAGCAAGAGAGAGCTCCCACAATGTCTTGGGCCCAGARACTGAGGCCTGTGGGTTCAGAGGGATGATAAATCCACTGAGCTTCAGCAGGAGAGGTGAGTCAAAGCACGGAGTCACAGCAGCCACAAAAACAGGACACACCCAAGCAAGAAGAGGGCAGACAGGCTAAACATTACAGGGGAAAAACCAAAAGTCCTAGAAATGGTGGCAGTCCCTCCAACTCCATGCCATTTTCCCTTAGAAAACACTCTCTCCCCTGCCCAATACCCATTACAAGCTTAAACTACTATTTAGAGGGTCTAAGCGATGAGCTCATGTCTCTACGTGCAGTATCGGAGAGAACAACTCCAGAGCATTCACTTGTCTGTTCTATTTAAGTCCAAGTAGCCCCAGCACATAGCATGCAGATCCAGCAGGAAAGCAGCTTGCTGGTGGAAGTAACGGTTACCTGCAGCGTTCCTTTAGCATCTTTGCCAATAGCTCTGGACCGCCACCTCCTGTGTGATCTTTTTTCCTTTTTGGGACTTTCAAAAACTCCACCCTTTGTTTCAAAACAGGAAAGAGAGGACAGACAGTAAGGTCCACCAAACCAATAGGGATAAATGCCCAGCAAAGTGACCACTTCCATCCCCTTGAGTTTGGCTCAAGCAACTGGCCAGACAACACCCATTGTTAGTCAAAGGCTGGGGAGGAGAAAGGAAGGCAGAAGCCAGAAGGCGAACAGAGGAGGGCTTGAGCTAACCTGGATGGCATTGATGGCAGGAGCCGAGTACGTCCGATGCAAGACGTCCATACTTTGTAGCAGCTGGCTCATTTCCACCAGGTAAGCATGGCAGTGTGCCAGGTCTGTGAGGGAAGAAAAGGGGAATGCTCACAATTTTCTACCAGCAAAAGGGATCACTGTGCTGGCACCAGAGATTGTTCTTTTTGTATATTAGAGTTTCTATCTGTACAGGTAGGAAACTTTAGTTCCTTTGTTACAAGAAAGGTTGTAGACTTTAGTGGAAAATCAGGCTGCCTTAGTTTGAATCCACTTAATGAACTGTGATTCTTGGGCAAATGACTTAATGCTCTGGGACTCAGTTTCCTCATCTAGAGGCTGGGAATCAGTACACACTTAGCTGACAGAGTTATTTAACTGAGCTGATACATGCAGAGTACTCAGATGGCCTATAGTATGAACAAAATAAATCAGCCAGCAGCATTATTATTTTTTTAAATTTTTTTTAGTTGTTAATGGACCTTTACTTTATTTATATGCAGTGCTGAGAATTGAATTCAGTGCCTCACACATTCGAGGCAAGTGCTCTACCACTGAGCTACAACCCCAGCCAAGCATTATTTTTTTAATATTTATTTTTCAGTTGTAGTTGGACACAATGCCTTGATTTATCCTTTTATAACTTTATTTTATTTTGTTTATTTTTAAATTTTTTTTAGTTGTAGATGAACACAAAATCTTTACACTTTTATTTGTTTATTTTTATATGGTTCCAGGGATCAAACCCAGTGTCTCATGTGTGCTAGGCAAGCGTTCCACCACTGAGCCACAACCCCAGTCCTAATACCTTTATTTTATTTATTTTTATGTGGGGCTGAGGATCGAACCCAGGGCCTCACATGTGCTAGGCAAGCGCTCTACGGCTGAGCCATATAACCTAGCCCAGCATAATAATCCTGCAATAACAGGATACTGCTTCCCACTTGTAAAGACCCAATACACATTAAATGGATGTGTTGATCATGGACCTGAATGAGGATAACGAACAGCTTCTGCAGTTGGACCTGACATGATAGAAGAGTACTCTCAGACCTGATCAGTAACTTAAAAGAGCCCACAACTGGCTGTTTACTAGATGCTTATGGATATTTTTGCTAAGGGAATTAAGGCCCAAAGGAATTAGGTAGTGACTTTTAAATTTTGGTGTCATCAGAAACAACTGGAAACTTGTTAAGACACCTATTGCTGAGTTCCACCAGTTTCTGATTTAGATCATCTGGGATGGRCCTGAGAATCTGCACTTCTAATAAGTTTCCCTGCCAGGCCAATGCTGCTGGTGCAGAAGCAACATTTTAGGGACCACTTCACCAAGCTATCACTCAGGGAAGTTCACGAATGGTGTTTATTGGAAGGGTAAAGCCTCCAGCATCCATGGCTTAGTAGAAATAATATCTACATTCAACAAGATGGAAACCAATTTTCAAGGATAGCACCTAACATCTTTCTAAATTATGGAGACTTTTTTTTTTTTTCTTGTTTGGGATTGAACCCAGGGGCACTTTACCACTGAGCTATATCCCCAGCCCTGGGATCCTCCTCTGTCAGCCTGAGCAGTTGCTGGAATTGTAGGTGTGCACCACCATGCCCAACTGGAAACATTTTTTTAATTGCATATGTACAAGTCCCACCCTTAGACAATTAAATCAGAACCTTCCCCGTCCCACTGGTGATCATTCTTTTTTTTTTTTTGGATGAGTCTCAGCTAATTAAACTTAAGAACACTGAGATTCATTGTGGTAGGAAGGCTCAATGTTGGCTCCCTATCAAAATCACCTGAGGATCTTTGGAAAATCAGTGCCACCAGGGACCCACCCCAGACTAATTTAAAGAACATTTTTTGGAAGAGAGACCCAGGCATGGGTATTCTTGCATTTTAAAACTCTTTTGATGATTCTAATGTGCAGCCAAGGGAGTCAACACCTACATTGTGGGACTCTCTATTTGGTCACCCATTCACCTCTGGAACACTAATTCTTAATCATGAAGGTGCATCAGAACCATTTTTGGCACTTATAAAAAGAGAGAGCAGTTCAAAGCCCTGGAGACCCGGATTCATGGGCCCAGGTGGAAGTTAAGTATCTGTACTCAAAAGACTAGAAAAGCAAACCTGTCTCATGGACACACAGACAAGGATGAAAAGGTCTGAAAGGAAAGTGTCTTTTGTTGGCAATGAGTGCAACCTTAATTAGCAGAATATAGGTTATTAGCAAATGAGACAGAATATTAGCAAATGAAACTAGAGAAGGGAAGGTCACAAATTCATCTGAGGGTAAACAAACCAGCATCAGTTCAGAGCCATGACAGAAAGAAGCCAAGGTTTCTGGTCACTTACCTTTTGAGCATTTTTCCATATCCTCTGAAGACTGTAGCCATAAAGGAACTCGTGTCTCTCCACCACAAGAAAATGATAAATTGCTTCCAGTTTGAAATGAATTCTGCTTTGATATACTGCTACGCTGTTCCACAGATGACAAGAGCACATTATAAATGAATACAGAGCCCAGTAGGGACACTTTAGGGTAAAGGATAATAGAGTGGGTTAGTTTCTAATAGACACCATCTGCCTATAATGGGAAGAAGCTTCTAGCAAAATATCACACAGGAGGCCCTTATATCTTTGGCTGTCACCCCACCTTGGCCATACTATGCTATAAGACCTCAGCTGATGGTCCTTATTTTTTTTTTCCTGTCAAATGGTAATACCAAAGTAATTATATAAATGTTTGAAAATATTCTGCAATCCTAAATGACTGTACATGTATGTACTGCATTTTACAACCAGGTAAGAAAATCAAGGTCAAACTGGTCAAAAGACTGCTACAGAGATCTGAGATATTGWGCTGTTCCTTATATACTCTCACACCATTAACAGATGCTCATCTCATCTGGATTCTGACTCACTGGACAAAGAGAATAATTAAGTACCAGCCCAACTTCCCTGTTCCTGCCCTCCAACCCTTCCTGAGACCTAGTTCTTGAGATGGTCCTCCCTCTTCAAAGTTCATTATTCCCCTTTCATGTTCATTATTGGCAAAACACTTATTACCTTCCTATTAGAAATGGAGTCAAATGTCCCAGGTGCAGAATCTGTGACAGTCGACCCTGGGAAAAAGTGATTAACTTCATGTGGAAACATGGCGATTTCATTCTGGCGATACATTCTATGGTGACGAAGTTTGGATACCCACTCATCAAAGACTTCTTCTGACTTCACCTAAAATAAGTTCAATTGAAAGGAAGAAACCAGATAGTCCCTTGCTAAAAGGAAAAAATATTCATCAAATTGAGGTCAGTATTCACATGCTCTTTATAATGGGGCACATGTAGAAATAGCCTCTACTGACTACATTTCTTGTGCTCCATGGGAAGAAGTTTGAGGAGAAAATAGTAACACTTGTCCTCATAAAGAATATATTTAGGTTTTGTTTGAGAGTGTCCAATTGTTGTTACATACATTCAAGTATATGTATATATATTTTTATATAAATATATATTTCAATGACATATGTGTATATACATATATTTCACACACACGCACACACACACACACACACACACACACACGATATTGAACCCAGGGGTTCTCTACCATGGAGCTATAGCCCTGTCCCTTTCATTTTTTATTTTGAGACAGGGTCTCACTAAGTTGTCCAGTCTGGACTCAAACTTTCAATCCTCCTGCCTTAGCCTCCCAAGTCACTGGGATTACAGAAGTGTGCCACTGCACCAGATTTGTTATGCTATTTTAAAGAAACCAAAACAGTACTAGTTATAATTAAACAACAAATAAACTGAAATTTATATTTGTCTCTTATAGCATTTCTGATTCTTTAGTCCCAGCTTTTCCTATCCCCTCTGAATATTATTGGCACCATATTTCTTTCTAAACTCTTATAATTCAAACTTTTCAGATTAATCCTCTCTGAACTGGAATAAATTAGTAAATTCTTTCTAAAATATTTAACCTTGTTCTTCTACTCTGACAAAGGGGATATTGCTGAAAAGTTATGTTAATGAATGTGAAAATTACTTAAAAGAATGTTTTTCCCACTCTCAGATACTAAGAAGAGTATCTGAAAAAGTGTTATGAAGCATAATCATCATTTATTGCGTACTCATTTAGTCATTCTCTTCACAGATGAGTGACTATCAATTTATAATACCTGGGAAGAATGTAATTCATAATTTGTATTAGAAAATATTTCAAATGTTCATAAAAATGCTAGAAAGAATAGAGAAAGCACCCATGTACCATTGATATTTCTTAAAAGTCAATATTTGTGTGTGAGAGAGTATATTAATATTTTCAAGGTGAAAAATGATAAACACCTGCATATTAGGGCATAAATACTCATGAAGCTGCAAATTCAAATAACCCAAAAGAATGTCTCGTTGGTTAACTTCCAAGATAAAAAATTCAGTCAATCCTGTGAAAATCTTTCCCAATGCTACAGCTGAGAACAGGGTGTGCAAATAAACATTGGAGGCATCATCCATCGAGAAACTGTCAGGTTGGCTTCTGTATGGATGAGGAGCAGCACCTACAGGACCCAAGGCTCCCATGTGTCGTTTACAGAAAGAAACAACACAGACAGACATCAGCTTGGTGTCTCCTCTATCTTATGTTCCTGAAATGCACTTCATTTCCCAGATGTGGTTAAGAGAAATTTTGTGAGAATCTTTTGTCATACTTGCACTGATGTACTCTCAGAGGCCCTTAATGCCAAAGTGCTCATTGTGACTCATCTTTTATTGGTTAAACAAGGTAGAAGAAAAACAGCAGAGAAAGCACTATATTAAAAAAATGACCATGGTTCTGTTCCAGCCCCTCCAGTAATTCCAGGACTATGGAAGGACAGTTCTGTGACCTCTCTGTTGCCCAGACCCCTCGTCTATAAAATGAGAGGGTGGACTGGAAGACCTGACATTGAAGCCATGAACTAGAACCCTCAGGTAACTACACCTTAACACTCACAGCCTCAGCTAATATTCAGAAGAAATTAGATCCAAAAATAGATCCAAAAGTGAATCACGCAGAAATTTAATTTATCATGATATTAGTATTCAATGTATCTTAAGACATTTGAACTCTTTAAAAATTAGGAGTTAATTATTATTTTTATTCTATTAACTACAAAAGTATATAAACAAGAACCTAATATTTCCTGACAATGTCAAAACACAGTACAAAGAGTAACTAGAAGTACATGGAAAAATAACCTAAGCCGTTCTTTTAGAAACTGACCACGAAATGGGACTTGGAGTTGGGGTTAATATTTTTCCTATACTTTTCCCCCAAGATTCTAGGTTGTTCCCCCACTTCACACTAGTTATCTGCAAGCAGGAGTGATTTCATCCCCCGGAGAAGCTTGGCAATATTTGGAGACATCTTTGATTGTCACACTTAGAAGGGTACCGTCAGCATTCAGTGAGTTAAACAAGAGGCAAGCATGCTGCTAAACATCCTATGATGCCCAGGACAGTCCCACAATAAAGAATCATCCTGCTCACAGCGCCAACAGTGCTGAGGTTGAGAAACCCTGCTTTACAGTGAGCTAATGCAGAGATTCAGGTGAGGCTAAGGGACAGGGTGCACTTGATGGTCTTGCCCAGCCAATCAAACACATGCATGTGTTAGGCCCATGTTGCTCATCGTGCACATGCTGGAGGTGACAGGGACACATTAGGACCTGGAGCTCATGATCTTGCACTTTTATTTTCCTAAAGTTCAGCCCCAAATCCAAAGTAAGTTGGCCAAGTAAGAAAAGTCTTAGTATCTTCTCAATTTCTAATACTGTTTCCACCTAATAATAAAAAACAGTAACTAAACTTGTTGAGTTTACTGTGGGCCAGACTTTATGCCAGTTTTTAATATGTAGCCCTATAAGAGAAGCACTTTAGACTGTAACACTTTTTTTTTTTTTTTTTTTTTTTTTAGGTAAGAAAACAGACTTTCAGAGATTAAATAATTGACCAAAGTTCAACAGTTTGTAAGCAGCCATGTCAGGATCTAACTAGTTCTGGATCTCACGCTTCATGCTTTATCTTCCTATACCACTTGTAGGGGAGAGAAAAGAAGGTAAACAGATTTGAGACTCACACTTAAAGAGAAAAAACTTCTGATATTTCTCTATAGTATGAGAATTTTAATGGGATCCCTATAAAATCAGCTGAAATTGTAAGACAGGGCTCCACAGATTAAATATTGTATTTCAGGGAACATATTCTAACCTATGGTAAATGGTTATTTATTAAAGATGGTATATGTCAAGAGCTTTGTAATATTTTGAACAACTAATAATAAAATAAATAAATAAAGATGGTGCTGCAGGTGGAGAAGTGATATGAAAACATGAATTTTTTTTGTTGTTGTTGTTATCGATCACTGCACAATCACTAGAGAGGAGAAGTGGTATTTGAAGGATGAGATAAGAAGAATGCTAACCCTTCAAGCAATGTTCTACACAATGGAGAACGGTCACATCATAATATCAACAGGATCCATTAGGAACACTTTGGTGATGAATATCTACATGTTGGCTGAATATCCAAAAGTCATCACTGACTATATAGTGACTGACAATCCCTCCTCAGTATAAAGGGGCTCTGCACAACCTTGCTGGGGGCAGTGGCGAACACCTATGGTTCTAGCTACTTGGGAGGCTGAGGCAGGAGGATTACTTAAGTCCAGAAGTTCAAGGTAGCCTAGGCAACATGGCAAGACCCTGTATCAAAACAACAACAACAACAAAAACAAACCCCCAAAAGGGCTCTGCACATGGGAGAAAGCACCTGGGAAGCAGCCTCACCTTCAGATGGTAGATGTGCTCCTCTGTGTCAAGATCAATGCACTTGGATGACTTCTTTACAGACATGACCGAGAGCCCCACGTCAATACAGCCGTGCAGCTTTTCTCTTTCTATCTACAGACCATGAAAAGGGTCACTTGAGAATCACAGTGTTATAAGTAACAGTCACTTTCCCCACTCTCCCCACCCCTCCCCTCCCCTTCCGCTTCCACTAACACAGACACTACCACTGCTGGAGCACGTGTGTGAGCCAACACTGAGTTCGGCACTGTGCACACGCTGTCTTCTTCACTCTGTGAGGTAGGAGGCACTCTCCATGCTTCACAGAGGAGGAGACTGAGATGCAGAGAGGTTCAGTGACAAGTAGTTCACACAGCCGGTATGGGAGGAAACAAGGAACCAAATCCCATGGCTTGACTCCCAGGACAAGGAAAGAACCTGTTTGCTGCACTGGCTCCTGCTGAATTAATGTCTGGTGTCCACGTTCATTTATAAGGGACTCAAAAGGAAGAGGATGGACAGGAGGCTAAAGGAGGCTAGGAGGGGAGGAATGGCAGAGAGGAGGACCCTCCAGGGGCAGGCCTACTGGCCATTTAGAGCTCTTACAGGGTGACTGCCTAGTGTTACCTCCAAGAGAAACGTCTTGTTGGCCAGGGCCTTTTCTACCAAGACCCTCAGTCACTATAAAGAGTGGGAATGCCAATTGTATTAGTTGTAAGGATGTCCTTTCCCACTTGAAAACCTCTAAGACCAGAACAGACCCGTGGCGACATGGTGGGGGGGTCTTAGACGCATCCCTGACCTCCACTTGACAGGGGGACTGAGCCCACCTAGAACCCAGGGACAAGACAGCAGGGATCTGGCACTTCTGTTCCTCCTGGAGAAACTACTGCCCTCTGTGGCTTCCAGTTCAAGGCACTGTGACCCTCAACTGTACACATTCTCACTCCTGAGATGACGACGAATACCCCTGCAGAATACTTCAGCGGCATGCTGAACCAATGAGAAGACTTACATCCGTTTGGCTCTTGGCATATTTCAAGATTCCTTTGTCGAGGTAGAAAAATCTCTGGGGGAAGAAAGTACAATTCATTGAGATGTTCCACTGAAGCATCCCCGTCCGGTTCTCAAATTTCAACTTCAAATCAAATGTTTAAGTGCCCCAGAACTGGGTGCTCAGTGGGGTAGGGTGGGTACATGTAAAGGAGAGGCCAAGGCCCATGTCTTACCTTGTGCCAGCCTTTTAAGGGCCATTTCCTCTTTTTCAGCAAAAATCCTTTCTGAACAGGCGGCTCCTGGGTGTAATTCATCTCCCCCCTCAGTCCTTCCACCACTTCCCAGCTGTCCTGTTCCAACAAAAGAGTCCATGCTAAATATCTATCTTTAAAAAAATAATGACATAAAGAAGCATTTCATACAATCAGAAAATCCATCAAAGATGAGCCTGGCTGTGTTTGTTGGGAAAAAGAAATTCAAATTTAATTTCCATACAGTCCTTGGACTTTAAAGATTTAATGTTATCATTCAGTGGCATTGAATTTTATTTTTTTTAAAGTCCTCTTTTAGAAGGGAATGTTCCTTTTTCTTTTTGGGTTTGAACCTTGACAACCACAGCTAAAGGGAAAGATTTTACTGCAAGTTCTATTTTTGTTCACCTTGACATCAACACACAATTACTGTTCACTCACTAGACTCCGGTCTAAATGTTAACCAAAAGCTACAGGCATCAGGATGGGAAGGATGTGTGTGTGTGTGTGTGTGTGTGTGTGTGTGTGTGTGTGTGTGTGTGTGTGTTAGGGTTGGCTTAAGACATGGCCAAAAAGTATGAGACTGGATGCAAGTTAGTAAGCATGACAATTTGACTGAAATAATAATTTAGTTGACAATTAATTGTCTTCAAAATTGAGTATTTAAGTAATGAAAATCTTGAAGCATCAAACAGATGAATTGGCAACAGGTGTTTTCACCCTATTTTTCCAGAAATAATTTTTTTTCTCATTTTCAAAAACGTACCTTTTTTTTTTTTGAGTAATTTGTAGTTTTGAAGAGATACAAACAGTTGTTGCCATTAATCTTCCATTATGGTTATTTAGATAATTTCAACTAATTGAAAACAAATTTTAATTTCTAAAACATTAAAAATTCTGAAAATTTATTCTAGAATTCATAAATCATTGCTAAGTTATAAGATAAACCAAAATTAGCAATAACACAGTTACTGAGAGTTACTTTTACAAGTATTATGCATGCTTTTTATTGGGATATAGTGTATATGAAATGTACGTATCTGAAGAGTTCAACTAGAATTTACACACACTTCCGTAACTACCATCCAGATCATCTATAAGTCTTTTCCTACCTGGCCAAGATTTCACATTGACTACCTTGCTCTGAGTCAAGCTCCAGCCTCCAGGCAGAGGCCAGAGGTGCCTGGAGAGAGACAGTAAACCTGGACCTGCACCAGGGAGCAAAGGTAGTTACATTCAGGTCCCAGGACACAAATGGTCTCACAGGGCGGGAATGGACATGGAGAGAAGTCCTCAGTGGCTCGATTCCACGTTGCCATCAAGCCCAATACTTTTTCTGTAACAAGAATTCTTTTCTACATTAGCAACTGAGCTATTTCTCTAAGGATCCTGACAGATCTATGCACCTCCTATCTGATTGCCTTTTACTGTGAATGGAGTTAAAGGTACATTCCAGAGGTGTGAAATCCACAGAGGTCTCCCACAATATGGAGCTATGAAAGGGATTTCTTTGATGGAAAAAAAGAAAAAAAAATTCAGCTTTCAATGTAGAGAATTTTTTTTTTCAGAAAGATAGCAACATTGAATGAGATTTCTTCATAGCAATTATTGCCAATTATTCAAAGTCACTTAATTACACCCAGACAATAATTGGAGACAGCATATCATTAAGTGATGGGAAGCCACACTTCTTATTACATAAAAACCACAAAAATTTATGCTCACATGTATTTTAGCCAGAAAGCCATTCCTCAAAATTAAAGTGTTTTGCTTGTCTAAATGTTAATGAATCATTAAGATTCCTAAGTTAAAAATGCTATCTCCTCCAGAGGTGGACAGTGACTCCATCAATGTGCTATCTTCCTTTCCAAAGGCTCGCCATTCATTTATGATAATATATAGGTTTATCATCCCTACAGGACAAAAGCTCCTTGACAGTAGACGTTTACTAATGATTTCCTCACGATTTCTAACCTGCTATCCTGTGAATAGCAGGTATCTGATGGCAAGTGAATAATCATGGTCCTGGAATAAGGTTGTCAATAGATTCACACTCTTGGAATGTTAGAATTTGGCATGAACTTGAAGTGTGCACATTATCTATGGGCCAAATGACTATTTACAAATTAGGTACAATGTACCCATATTTGTGAAAGAGGGGTGTGTGTAGTGTTGTTATTAAATGTAAATTGAAGGCTCCAAATCCTCTGTAAAGTACTCTAAGTGGATCAAGCCCTTTGGATTTGTCTGAAGACTGCTGAGCAGAAGGCAACCTGCTGAGTGCTAATACTAAGCAATCATGCACATCTGCTCAGTACCTCCCATTGGGCACAGAGCAAATGCCAAGGGGATTAGTTATCATTGCATACTTCACAAAAAGGTGGGGGAGATGGATAAAATCACACCTGTAGTTTAAAGGAAAACAAGAATTAAATTTCAAAATAATTTCAATGATTCACATAAGAACTAGATTGCCCTTGAATTCTTGAGACAGTACATTCCTCCCAGTGAGCCAACGAAGAGAGCAGGGAATTAGGGCAAATATGTTGGCCTTTAACATAAATAAGTCAAAAAAGGTTTGCTTCATTTTTTTTCCCTACAAAATGTCCTTTTTTCCCTCCTCATTTTATCTCCCACCTGGGCTCAGAACTTGAAACTGTTGCCAAGTTGGAAAAGCTAAGTTTGAAGTATTTAAGAAAGTGAAGGCTTCCCTTGGCTGGGAGAGAAAGTGCTGCAGCCAACTCCTTTCCTAGGCTCCACATCCAAATCCTCCCACCCCAGCTTGCTTGTGTGTCACCATTCTTGAATTGGTGGCTGACACCTGACAGCCAGTCCCCAACCTCCAGTGGTTCTCAGTGGGCTGGGGCTGCTCCCCTGAGCCTGTGGAATCCTGGAGTCACTTGTGTCTGTCACAGTGATGGGGAGATGTCTGGCACCTAATGGCTGTGAGCCAGGAGACAATGTAAGACATCCCAACGTGCCTCAGTCTCGCACAATGAAAACGTTGTCCCCCATCCACCTTTCCAAGTGTTCTTAGACATTTCTGTAAGTGAAAGTCTGCTTCAAATCACTTGGGCGTAGAAGTGGACTGTTTCACACATATACCAATGTATTTTTGCAGGGTTTTTATGCACTCTGAATTCTCAGGAATGCAAGTAAGTACTGAATAACTAAGGGAAGACAGTACATACTTTGTTTTTGTTTTTGTTTAACCTTACCAAGCTTCACCCACCATTTGTCTAAACCACATCACTGAAGGCCATGATATATATATATTATTAACATGCCTGTGTTGTCTGCATTCATGGTAACTATATTCTACATGAGGGAGTATCTGACCACTTCATTAAGTTTTCTGGTATGGACATGTCCAGGCTTTTACATATGGAAAAGTATATTTTAATATTAACCACATTCTTTGAATTTTCCTTTATATTACAGAAAATCATGATGTTGAGAGTTTAAAAAATGTGTGCAAATTCCATTTGAGGAGAGTAAAGGGGCCATTAAAATTCTCACAATAAGAGGACATTGGTTAAGGGGATGATGGGATTAAGAAAGGCTGATGAACTGGCACAGATTCTGTGTACTATTGTGGGAAAGAATACCAGGCCAGGACACAGTGTAAATGAAATCCCTTTGAAAATTGAAAGGATTTTAATATTTTCTTATAACTAAGTCCTATTGGTTCCATCTTCAAATTTTTCTTTAAAAAAATAAGTTACACATTAGTAGAGGAAGAGAAATACCAATAGAAGGAAATACTGTAAATACCCAGGACATGGTCTTTGATGATCTCTTTCACCACTGATCCTTTGGTGATGAATGAGGGCATGTGCACACACACTAAGCTAGGTATCTTCCATTTTCTCCTCTAAGCACCCTTCACTTCTCTGTTCTGCTGACTACATTAGTGGCCTTTCTTGTATCAGAGTTCCAGTTGATTTTGTTCAATAAGGAGCATTGGGGGTTTCAGAAGTTCAGCGCATGGTAGGCCGACTGCATAGCTCTGGTGCAAAGTGAGGCAGAACATCATGGCAGAATGGCATGGAAGAGGAAAGCTGAGCAGTTCATGATAGCCAGGAAGCACAGAGCAAAGTGTCTATTTCTGTCCCTTCTTCTGTATTCCCAGCCCCAACCCTGACCCAGGCTCTCAATTGATTTCATGGATTGATTTCCCACTTCTTCTAAAATCAACAACCCTTTATTTGCAGGCTCCATTGCTGCCTACCCTTTGTGCAATATGAAAATGAGTATGACATAGTGTTCATCTTTATTTTCACATCTGTAACTTGTTTACATTGTCTCAGCCTCTGAGAATCTTCTTGATCTTTTCCATCCAAGTAAATTCTTCAAGATTTTAGTTCTGTTTCTATCTCCTTCCATTAACTTTCTAAATTATCTAAACCACATTAGTCAGGTATTCCTGTAAATAATAGTTACTGCTGCCCATAACCAGATAATTTAGCATTTAATTAACTCGTGATTTTTTTTTCCATTTGTATCCCCAGTGCTTTGTCTTTTCTTTCTAAATTATCATAGGGACCATCTTTTCAATTTGCTTAGAATCTCAGAAAAGTCTTATATATGTAATAGGAACTTGGAGAATTCTCCTGGCTTATTACTTTTTCTTGTCTTCAACCAAGAAAATAGATTCAATTCTCAAACCAAGTAAATGGCACTAGGTAGTTAACTTACAAGTAAGTATTAAGCAGTATCTTCAATTCTGTATAGCATGTGATTTAAAACACAAAATAGTATCTCAAGAAATACTATCCAGGGGGGTTGCTTGAAAAAACTACATAAATAATAATAAGATAAAATTATTAGAGAAAACTTTCTAGCTCTATGAAAGCAAGAACTTTCTGTCTTCTTTACTTCCTAAAATACTGAATAGTAACTATTAATAAATATATTGAGAGAATTAATGAAGCAATTACAATGGCTAATGCTAAGTATTTATTATATGTCTGTATGTTAATGGCATGTTTAGATTATCATGCTTAATCCTTGCATAATCCTTCAAGGTTAGATTTATTACTATTCTTATTTTTTGAATGTGGAAACTAAGGAAAAGAATTAGATGATCTCTCCAATAC